CACACACACACACACACACACACACACACACACACACACACACACACACACACACACACATGCAGTCAGCAACTCTGCTATATTTCTCTACAAAGCAAATAAAGATAAGTCTAGAGACTAATCAGTGCTTTAGATCACCTCCATACACTGATGGGACACACATCAAAATCTTGCCCAGGGACACTTTGATATGCGACTAAATAGGGGTGGAATTGAACCGCCAACTCTCTTCGGAGGACCGCTCACTGACAGCGATTCTTCTAATAGTTGTCTATAGCCTCTTCTCCACTGGTGTGCCTTAAACCGTTTTCATCGATTCAGCGTCGGCCTCACGTGTCTCCATTTCCACTTCCAACCCCAGTTTTGGATCCACCTCAGCTGTGGTTCCAGGCAGGTCAAGCCATGTAACTGCATGCAAGTGAGTTTGACATCAGCAGATTACTGCTTGTGGATTGGCTGAGTCCTCCTTGAGAGGTGCAGGAGACAAGTGGAGCGCATACAGCTCGAGCTCAAAAGTTATACTGGGAGGTTTCAGTGAATCTTGCCACCCACGGTTACACGCGCACTTACATAAACTGTGCCACGGCAAAAACAACAAAAAATTTTGTACTGGACAAGCCGCGTGCTGATGATCCACCCACACAGTCAGGGACACAATGCAATGGAGAGACACCTACACTTGAGCAGACGCAAACAAACAAAAACTGATTAGAGTGAGACTTGACAATGGAGAAGAGGCTAATAGTACGTCTGCTCTTGCAATGCATCTCGTCAGTCTATACGTCTGTCTAACTCCTGTTGGACTGATGCATTCAGCTAGACACCTATGTTTCAGTAGAAACACTGACGTCATTCGGTTGAGAAAATGGTGACATACCAAGGTGTAGAGGTTTAAACTTGAGCTAATTTAACATTCTTTTACACCAATATGACTCTTAAACAAAGACTCTTATTAGTCTGTAAAACGAGGGGAGTAAAGGTCCCAACATTCTCGAAAGCCAGTGGTGGGCAGTGCTAATCCAAAAATTAGCTTCGCAATTTCTAAAGCACTTATGAAAATATTTAGGTCCGCAACTTCAAAAATGCTTATGTCATCGAAAAATTTGCGGAAGCTAATTTTAAACCACAAGTTCAATTTGACACTTAATAGCTGACAATTCATGTACAATATGCACAACACTGCCAACTAGTGGTGCATGAACCCTTGTACAGCTTAATCCTACAACCGCTGATTGCTGGAGATCTGATTTCCTGAACCAGATCTTTGGCTCCTGGTGAAAAAATTAAAACTTTGTTGAGGATTGCTAGTTCTGCTAATTCTTTAGAAAGTTGTTAAAGATTGCTAGTTCGGCTGCTTCTTTGTCTTTTTCTTTTGTTTGTTGTTGATTTTTCATTAAAGAAGCATCAATAAAGTAATTTTAAAACTGTTTATTGGAAAACTGAAGCGGTGCATTCTGGGTACGATGGACTGACAGGAAATGAAAGCACGGGGAACAGGAAACTAGTATCTTCCCTTCAAAATAAGAGCTTGGATTTTAAAGTTTTTCATGTTTCCATTGGATTTTAAAGTTTTTCGTTCACCTGAAACTCATCAGACTGAAGAAGTCTCTTGTAGGAGAGACGAAACGTTTCACTAAAGAAGAAGCCATGTAGAGGACCTACTTATTTATTCTTTTTGATTTTTTTCTACTTAGGACGTTTTGCATGTAGTTGTGCCAGGTGACCACTAGATGTCAATCTTCACCAGCATAACATCTTTAAATCATTTCTGAGTCTCTAACATCGTTGGTCGAATGCTTTTGAGCTCCAGCGTTAAAACTTTGTTTTTTTTTAAAAAAGGAGCTCCGATTGTAAAGTAAAAGAAATCAATACATACAAAATTTTAGTATGGATTACAAACGTTTATTGTTTTTGCTGGGACAGGGAGTTCTAAACATTGCCTTCCTGCTACGTAAGCAGACACAAAGCATTGTGGGAAATGAGAACCCTGACCGAGAGCAACTGTCAGGAAGGATGTATACCTTCCCAATAAGTATGTTTATCTGGGAGGGGTGCTGTTGGATAGATCACGTGTGTTGTGAGTCATTGACAGTCATACCTTCTGCTGTTCAAGATAATGATGAATGGTAGATAATTAATTATTAGTGGTTCTGCATTATAATTTTAGAAAGTGCAAATTTGCTTATGAATTATAATAATTAGTAAGTCCGCTAAAGCGCAAATGAAATATTTAGTTCCGCAATTAGCGGATTTGCTCTTTAGCGGACTGGTGCCCACCACTGTCGAAAGCAAAACGGTCAACTCCATGTCACATGGTTGCCAGGTGTTTGTTTTCACACACACCTTTCACAGTTCACGAGACACAGATAAATCATGGATCGATGTTTTTTTTTTTCTAAAACAGATGAGAAAACATAACTATATACCTCATATGTTCCACAGTACAATTATCATTCAAAGTTTAAACACATCACTGAAAGTTGGATTTTACATGTCCTAAGTTGCATTGTGATATCTGTTATGGTTTTTACACAATCATAAGCTGTGTTTCCGTCAACGTTTTTGTTTTATGCACATTTTGCAGTACCACGTTAGAAAATGTTGGAAATGGCAAAATTTGAAAGAAAAAAAACATCCTCAATTTTTCTAAAAAAATCACGCTGACTTGAGGTGGTTTTTAGATTTTTCAAAAAAGAGTAAATGCGGAAAAGGGGAAATGGGAAACACATTTTTCAAATGACGTAGCCAACATTTACCTCACACGATTGATACGCAGTTCCTACTGTCCAATAATTGTAGCGACTGCAGCTGGACCCTTCTCCCGCTGTCAGCGTCTTCCCCATGTTCCTGTAACTTAAAGAGAAATACATTAATTTCTGTACGTCTCTGGACAGTATGTAACATCGTTAATACTAGTTGATATGACAGAATAATGACAACTTTCCATATAGCAACACATTTCTGATAACTTCTCCATTTTCCCAAGATGTGTGGTTCCTGCTAGTTTACGACCTCTACTTCCTGTTTACTACAGTCATGTGTAACATGTAGCGTAAATTCACTTTGCATAGCCTGGTTGATTGGCTCCAATCCAGTTGATGGAAATTTGAAAGATGATTCACATTTCTTTCTTTTTTTCCCCTGTGTGACATTTCAAAAGTTCACTCAAAATTTGCATTAAAATTGTGATGGAAACTTGGCTTTAGGACGTTCTGCTGGTCATGAATTATTTAAAATTCAACTTATTGTTTTCATACAATAACTGTTAAATTCAGGCTTATTTTTTAGTCTTTCTGTCAGGGAGTGAGAGACACAGGTGTTTAATTACCAGGGTGCTCATAATGAGCCTCTGGCAACTGCTTAGCATTTTTTACACTGCGTTTACAATTTAAATCAAAACTTCAGCAGTTTATACAATCTATACATAATATGTATATACATAATCTATACATTTTTTTCTTTTTGATTTTTTACCTGGATTACTGAGATGCATCAGGACAAAACTTCAGCATTTTTTTCTTATCTGAAAGTTATAAGAAAATTTAGTTGAAATTTTGGGTCATTGCTGCATTTCACCTTTCAGTATTTCTTTAACATGGTTTAAACATAGTTGGACATGTTGCAACTTTTTGACTGTTTTGCTGGTATCCACTTTAAAAATGAGTAAATATTTAATATTTCTTAAAAAGAACGTGGTTTAGGTTTCATTCCTGCGTTTAATTGTTGTAAAATAATCCATTTAGATTATGTGCTGCTGAAATTTTAAAAAGCAGAAACAACACCAGCATGGTAGTCACGGTGCAGTGATTGCACATTTTATATGATGTAATGTGATTTTGCAGAGATTCAAACCGCTCGCTGGATATATTCGATGAGAAGAAGCACCCTCTGTCGGTGAGTCTTTGGCTTCTTGAAACGGACACATTTTTACGAAGCTGAACAACAAATGCTGACAAATCTTTGCCCAACAGAAAGAAAAAGTGCCGGATGATTACTCTGTGGTCGACCCGGAGCACAAGCTCATATACCGCTTCATTAGAACCCTCTTCAGCTCTGCACAGCTCACCGCCGAGTGCGCCATCGTGACTTTGGTAACTAGTGTGCACCTTTTGTCTCCGTCTGTTTTGCTCCTCAGAACTAACTAATGTATGTTACGTCAGGTGTATCTGGAGCGGTTACTGACTTATGCGGAGATCGACATTTGCCCGTGCAACTGGAAGCGCATCGTCCTCGGCGCCATCTTGCTTGCCTCCAAAGTTTGGGATGACCAGGCGGTTTGGAACGTCGACTACTGCCAGATCCTCAAAGATATCACAGTGGAAGACATGTAAGCATCGCTGCTGACCTGAAGACATGGTTTACTGGTCCTCCCTGCCTCATAAGGTGTCTTGACTTGACTTGGTGAATTTGTTGAACAGGAATGAGATGGAGCGCCACTTCCTGGAGCTGCTCCAGTTCAACATCAACGTTCCGGCCAGCGTCTACGCCAAGTATTACTTTGACTTGCGCTCATTAGCGGATGACAACAACCTCAGTTTCCCTCTGGAGCCGCTCAGCAACAAGCGAGCCCAGAAGCTGGAGGTTTGTCTGGTTTCATTTCTCTTGAACCAACAAATCATCTGTTAGCTTAGAGTCTAAGCTAACAGATGACAAAGACAGTCTAAGCCTTAGACTGTCTTTGTTTTAGCCAATATCTCACTGGGCCACAACTGTTGGGGACTGCTTGATAAATGGCGCTCGCAAAGGAGCTTGTTGGGGTCTGTAGTTTCCTTACAAGTCGTAGAGGTTTGCCGTCTTCCCTCTTGAATTTTGATCTTGTCTCAGTGGGGTTTTCATCAATTCTAGCATGCCAGAGTCGTATTTTGACACCTGTCAGGGAGTTGTCCTGTGACAGAAAGGGACATCCCTAAATGCCCAGGTCTAAAAGCCCTGTTGATGCGTAACCAGTAACCAGTTTCAAATTCAGTCTGAACACCTAGTGCTGAGTAACAAAACATGAGCTAAAAGTCAAAAATAGCAAAACATAATCTAGAAGCTAAAAGTAGCTAAGGCTAATTAAAAACTTAAAAGTAACAAAATGCTTAAAACTAAAAGTAAAGTCTAGCCAAATGTTAAAAACACAAGTCAAAATTAGCTAAACACTAACTAGAAGCAAGACGTATTGAAAAGCTTGCTAGAAGCAAAGATTAGCAAAGACTAACTAAAAACTAAAAGTAAGAAAGTATAGCTAAAATGAGTAAATGCTGAGCTAAAAGCCCAAAGTAACAAAATATAGCTCAAAGCTAACGGTAGCATAACTTTCTAAAAGTAGCAAATCATTATGTTGGCTGCGTCTCAATTCATGGGTTGCAGCAGACGTAGACCGCGGCCAACGTTGGCTGCAGTCAAAGTGGGCCGTAGGCCGCTTATGTCGGCTGCATAAACAGCTTTGAAATGAGACGATCTAGTCTACAGAAGACGTATGTTTGCGAGAACACGCTCTGTGTTTTTACCATGGTGATACATTTACAGCGGGTAAAATAAGTATTGAACACGTCACCATTTTTCTCAGTAAATATATTACTAGAGGTGCTAATG